AACTTTGCATTCGATCATTGTTTTACAATTACATCGTAATTCTAGTTTAATTTGCAAGCTATTTACAGCTTCATATTAAAATCACAAAAACTATCAACTTGAGTTCTATAGTTTCGGTTAAGGTTACAATAATAGAAATTAGGTTAGATCAATCCTCGTGGGAACGATACTCGAAATTTTACAATTTCCACTTTATTACTTGTCAACGAACCGTACACTTGCAGTGATTTAAATTCGAAACATATTTTCGTGAACACACACAACTTGCTCAATGCAAAAAATCCAAAGATTCATGCTACAGTACCAGAGATGTTGACATAACCTTTGACATAATAGCACATGATATTCTATTATTAGACTTTTTAAAATACAGTTAACTTTTCTATCCGATCATATTTTGCTAACACCCATTACGTCAAGGCATCTGTCAACATCTTTCAGTTAAAGTGGCTTTACCCAAATCAAAAGGAACGCGTTGCAGCACAACGGTTCATTCTAAACTCAAATTCGTACTAAGACTTTCCTCCTAAGGACTTTGACCTCTTCATTCTTATATATCAATGTCACACGCGAGTTTGCTTTATAAACAATCTATGATATATATTTGTTAGGGGTTGATGTAGTAGAGTTTCGTGCACATCAGTTGCACTGGAGGCTGACTTTGATGCCCAGGAGTGTGCGAACGATGAGAGAGTTTACAGTGACAATTTACTCTGTTGTTAGCTTGGCAACAGGCTAGCTATGTACCAATATCTGGAATCCCATACTTAGTAGAGATATGTATAAAAAGTTGTGGAGATAAATTTCTACAAGCTTCAGTACAAAGTAAATATCTTAAAAATGTTTCAAAGAGTCTTCACCAACCTTTACATATGATAGATTTTCACCATCCATATAATAAGAAGATGGAAGACCTTAATTTGCAACCAAGAAAGAGCGAGCATTGAGGTGATAGTAAGTTTTGTGCGCATGAGTAAGGTAAATCGAGATTCGAATTTTTTTTCTTTTTTCAAATTCTTTTTTCTTCAAGAATTTCTGGAAACTTCAACAAACAAAACACTACAGAGTACAAACAAACTGATATCTTATCTTAGGGGTCACTCTAGTCAATGCCCTTGGAGCAAAATCAAGAAAAAGGAACACATTGCACCCGAAATTCAACAACGGTTCAATCTTGGGTTTGAACTCAAACCCGTACCAAGATTTTCCACCTCAAAACCCGAGGCTTTTACCTATTCATTCTTAAATATTAATGTCATAGGCAAGTTTGCTTTATAAAGTATAAACAATCAATGACATATATAATGCTAGTGGTGGTGTAATAGAGTTTCACGCACATCAGTTGCACTGGAGGCTGACTTTGATGCCCTGGAGTGTCCGAACAATGAGAGAACTTACAGTATCAATTGACTCTGTTGTTAGCTTGGCAGCAGGAGGCTATGCACCCAAATCGAAATCCTATAGTTAGTAATGAACCACTACTTTCATCATCATTGCCTACATTATAGTTGATAGGCCCGCCAGAAATGGGAGAACAATCAGGAATAATTGCAAATCCGGATGGCAATAAAACCACGGAGGAAGAATCACCCCTGGTCATCACCAAATTGATTGCTTCAGCGTTGACAGTCGTGTGTACTACAAGTGATCCCGTAACATCAGTGCACGACTCTTGCAAGATGAGCATGCTGATCTGATTAGGATTGGCAACAGCCTGAAAGTCGAAGGACACATTGAAAACCATAACCAGAGTGTACAATAATTGTAATTTGAAGTAATGCTGTTTGGTTAAGATGCCCTGAAGTCTCCTGTGCTAAATTTAGCATTTGGGTTCCCAACCTTCGTGAAATTAGGCACAAAGGTCAACATGTGCAAGGCATGTGCCATTTTATAGAAACATTGGATGGGAACCAAAGCACTAGACTTAGCAAAGATGGAGCAAATACGAGGAAATGGCTAGTTGACCCGGTCATATTTCTATGCTAGTCTTTGATTACTAAAAAAAAAAAAAAAAAGTTAAAAAACATAAAATGTTAAAGTTAAATACCAAAACCCAAAAATACCCTCATCTTCTACCAATTGTTTGATAGGAGAGAAAAATGAAATTTCAAATTACTCACACAGTCTACAGTCGGGTTCCGGTCGAAGAATCTTCACAATCAACCCAACGCCGACCACCGCACACCAGCCATTATCTTCAACAATATTAATTTTTTTTTTTGGATTATAAGATTGATTTTTCATTTATTGTATTTTAAATTGTTATGTATAGTATTTATTTTTCATTATTTAGGTAGATTATTGGGTGTTGTAGAGATTTATGTGTATATATTCAGTTTTTTAACCTAATCTCGCCCGACGAGATTTTCGGCTAGAAATAGTTCGACTTTTGGCCGTTACTTTGGGCCGAATGTTAATGGCCAAAAGATCATTTTTTCATTTTATTTTCAATTTATAATTATTATAAGTTTTTTAATGATAAAATATAATTATTTTAATTTTAATTAAATAATATTTATATTCATTATTTAATTTTAATTTCTTTTTGTTTAATTTTTTTTTATTCTATATATTTTTTTGGAAATATTATTAAAATTTCTAAATTGTTTATTTTTTGATTTAAAATTATTTTTTAAATTTTAATTAAATATTATTTATATTCTTTGTTTAATTTTCATAATTTCATTTTGTTTAATTTGTTTGTTTTCATTATAATTTTTTTGGAAATAGTTTAAAAAAATTTTAATTGTTTTTTCATATTATAAATAAATTTTTTTTTCAATTTAAAATTGTTTTTAATTCTTAATTCTCTATTTTTTTAATTATTTTCTTTAGTTTATTATTTTCTGTAATTCGGTTCATTTAATTTTTTGAGATAATGCTTATTCCATTATCTTTTGTTAAATATTTTAATATTTGAATTTTTGCTGGATGGAGTACCATCTAACTGTGGAGTTGAGGCATATGGCAGGAAAATGTACGTGGAACAATAGCTTTGACTGTTTCACTACTGTGTTGGAGTTGTTGGATGAGCAGCTTGTAGATATCCTATGCCATCCTTCATGTTATCCTTGAATTAGTTGAGAGAAGTGCAATACTCTAGGCAGATTATTGATGCATTACTATGTTGGCTGCTTAGGCCAGTCCACGATGATGCCATTTACTTCGACCTTGGGGATAAGGTCGCTGCTTTCTCCATTTTTTTTGCCCTCGTGACTAGACTGAAGATAACGGGCCATGAGACAGCTACTGATGGTACTCAAAGAAGTAATAGTCTACACGAGACATATTTTTAGAGACAGGGGATGGTGTTTCTACCACAATTGATTGTCACAATCAGGGAGTGCGACCAGATGTTGGACAGATTGTAGTTAGGACCGGTCTACATTTTTGAGAGGGTGGCAATGTGTTATCACAAGAAGACTGCGATCGACCTGTTCTATTTGGAAGTTGTTGACAACATCAATGCATTCAATAACTATCTGTGGGGCCGAAGATATTTTGAGGACACCGTATACGTCTTTACCAGATCACACTCAAAACCCTAGAGGTCCACACGTAAATACGATACTTATGGATTGCTCATGGCAGTGGATGTAAATGTTTAACATAATCATCATTAAAATATTTTTTACACTGAATTTATATATAATAATTGTATGTGTTGCAAATTTAGGCATATGAGATTGTCCCCCTCCCGGGTACCCGGTTTGCTAGTGAGGGAAGACATGCTACTCTCAGATGCATAATTGGCGAGCATCCCGAGCAAATAGATGTCCATCTGGCAAACAATTATCTGCCCTCCTCGATGACCCTTAGGCGAGTATTACACATTTGCGATTTATATTGTATGTCATTTCAAAATTTCATCACATGATCATTAACTAGTTGAACTATCAATATATCAGCTTGAAGTCCTAACTGAGTTGACATTGTCGAAGGAGGAGGAAGTTCGAGATTTTGTGCGTGAATTAGCCGTTCTGCATACTCAACACGACCTGATGTCCAATTCCATCCTGAACCAAGATTGAGTATGTGAATTGAATATAATTTATTGATTATCGTTTTGTATGAGTTAGCTTATTTGAACTAAGTTAATAATTTTTAATATTGTTATTTGTGTAGGAGCGCGGTTTAGTTGATCGGTGATCACCTCTGTCGATGATCACCTTCGTCGATGAGATCTTCTTCTCATCCATCTTGACACCTCCCCCGTGGATCTCCTGTACACGATCATAGTTATTATTTTGATGATTTGTATGTCTGCCCGATTGGATTTATGGTGGGGGAGGTAGGGGCATTACGACGAGATATGAGAAATGAGGTAGGTACGCTACTGTTCGCGTGATTCTATGCCGCAAGCGCACGGGTCGAGAACAAGTAGTAAAAGTGGACCTAAAGAGTCCAAGTCGATCCCTCAGAGAGTGTGGAATTCAATTCGACCTTTATCAGTCTTAATTTTAACGACGACACACACACAGATTTAAAAATATTTTTAAAATTCTAAAGACTACAGTTAGACTAAAAACTAATAAAAAGGCAGATAAAAAAGTAAAAAGGTTTTGGTTTTGAAAAGATGTTGGAATTTATGTTTCGCTTAACCTATACTTCATTAAT